ACATCGCCTGGTCCCTGTGTAGCACTTGTTACCTACCAAGTAGAAAAATGGAAACTTTTGTCCCAAGAAAGAAAGCGATGAACAAAAACCTACAGCATCTGTTGGAGGATACAGGGAAGAGCAGATAGTTCCCGGGCACAGGGATGAATGAGGAAGAATCAGTGTCCAGGAGAGAAGCGGGAAGAATGACTGGAAGATAAAGAAACGGGAAGGTAAGGATAATAATGGGAGAAAAGATGGAGGTGAATAAATAATGTCTTGCAATAGAAGCTGGGGGAGAGGGATAATGACTGTGAGAAAAGATATGATGGAAGAAACACTACCTCGGAAAGTAGACAGATGTAAAAGAATACTGTTTAGAAGAGAGGTGGAAGATGGGAAGGAAGAATGCCTGAGAAAATTCTTGGAGAGGGTGACTTTTGAAACTGAAAGGGGACATGGTAAGTGAAAAGCTTCAGTTGCCTGGAGGGGGAAATTGGAAGGAGGACCTCTAATCCTCATAGGAGAACGGGGAGGGTGCATTGTTCGAAAGAAGAGACACAGGAAATATCCTAAAGTGATCGTGTTACTAGAATGTAGTGGTGATGATACTTTCGTCAAGAAAAGAGAAGGCTGTAGAGTGACCAGAATAAAGCTGTTTAAGATTGTCAAAGGATTTGAAAGGGTAAACTTGGGACAGGGTATTACAGGTGGCAGGATTTTCCACTCCACCACAGAAAATATATTTCAGCCAATTCTGGCAGCTCTTCAGACATTTAACACCACAAGGGACATTTATTAGGGCTTTTGCCTTTCACTCAGGCAGGAATCCTGTTTCGGAGAACTACCAGCCAAACTGATCTGTTGGCAACTGTAAGTCCCAGCAACACCAGCAGCAGCAGTGGCCAGAACTTGGACTACAAGTAGTTGCTCAATTAGTGCCCAGCATGAGGTAGGTCAAGGTGGGGTAAAGGAGAATCTCACATTAGGAAGATGAAGCCAGTTAGGGTGATGGGACCCTTGATGGAAAGGCCAGGTGGCACGGAGCATCTGCAAGGACAGAACTTGGGGAGGGAATGCCCGAAGTGGAAAGGAATTACTTAAAGGAGAAGATTCCCATTTCAGGATTAACCCAAGTAAACTACCAGACATTTACCATCCCTGAACCCACCCCAAAATAATTGTGGCAACATGAGAGATAGCCCTTACAATTGGCCAGAGGTTAGGAAAGTTGCACTAGGCCTCGCTCACTTTCCTGCAAAATTACAATCAGATGTATGGACAGGGAGGCCACTCAGAGAATTTTACAGGACACCTCACTCCACAAACCTCTATCCATACCTTAATTGTGTCCATAGAGAAAATGTTACCATCTTTGACAGAAGCCACAACTGGAGGACATAAACAGAAATATTCAGTAATAATTTAGTGAGAAACTCAGGAGAAACCTATCAATCAAAGTAGTGGTGAGAATGTGAAACACTCCTGTCTCAAGGTGAAATTGAGGCAAATACCATAAATGCATTTAAGGGGAAGGTAAATGAACACATGGCAGAACAAGAGATAGAGGGCCTGTGGTACAAGTTATGTAAAATTGTACAGTTCTGGTAGGGAGAAAAATTGCTCTTCTTTGAATTGAGACAGGAAAGATAATGCATTCTATGTTTTGGCAAGAACTTCAGCAGCTTCAGATGCTCTGGACATAGTGGTTGGAAATGTGAAAGGACTTGCAGATTTTCAAAGCTTGAAAAGGGACTGACGGAAATAGAGGGCAGGCAGTAAACCAGTGTGACTTGATAACAAAGAAACAGTCTGGATGCTTGGAGAGATTTGTTCCAAAATTAGAGATGATGGCAGCAGTAGGAAACCTCAGGTCTCGATCAGAAAAAAAAATTGCCTCAAAAATATGTTGGAGTGTGCAAGAATTACCTAAATTTGTGAATTGCAGAATATAAGCATTTTTAGTTGATATATATTGAACATACAAATGAAAATATTTGCTCTCTAAATTATTTTTCTTTCTCACTGAGAGCTGAAAGCTATGTATTTTATTACCATAAAACCTGCCAACCCCAACAATGAATATGACCATTTCTACCTGAGGAACTATATTACTTTTCGAATGCATAGTGAGTACAGTTTTCATTTGATCTAATTCTTCAGATAACTTTGCCATCTGAGAAAATGTAAATGATATCATACATCAATGTCACAAACTATTTTCAAATGTATACCACATTAGCTGAATTAAACATAGCAATCACAACATTTCCAGAAGTCATCGTGTACATGAAGCTTCCATCTGTAATGCCACATATTCTTTCTCAAGTAATAAAAGGAAGAAGGTATTCATCATGCACAATGCAGTTAAAGACTCCTAGAGGCTTTCAATTATGCTCGCAATAAAGCTATTTCACTTTTTCATCTTTTAATTTCAGATTCTATGTCAGCCAGAACAATTGACCTGCTTAGAATAATCAGTCTGGCTGTGATGCAAGCTCGAAGAGTCATAGCTAACAAGTGCTGCCACCCTTTGCATTTCTGATTTATTGTGTTTTTATCAAATGAGGTAGAAACAATTTAATTTGCATAGGACACAGCTGTTAACAAAGCAATAAAGAGTATGTTATACTTGTTTGGCATTTCCCATAATTCTTTTTAATAGCTCAAAAAATGCTTCAGAAATCCCAGTGGTCAGGAATTACAATATACATAAATAGGGTAATAAATACTTAAATTAAGAAAGCCCATCCATTTAGCCTTTCACTTCAATTTTGAATGGAAATAGGTGATGAAATGTGTACCTACTATATCTTCGATAATGCACCCTCATCAGATTTTGCAGGTATAAATTATCTCACAAATAATAAGAGTCATTATCATAACAAACTGTTGTTTCTAAACTAAGGAAATCTTTTTATGTTGGTTTATAGAAGGGATTCTTTTCATCATCAGATATATTGTTTGTATGATTATTTGAAGTCAGCTGGCAACCATTTTGATGCAGAACTGTTTCCAGAGCCACTCTGAATCATAAATGGTAACACTTCGACAACCAGCTGCTGTTGCAGTTGTAATGAAACTGCACTGGACTCCATATTGATGGGGCTTTTCAATTACTGTAAGATCCTAATCCTCATTTAAAGTTTCACTAAGTAAGAAAAGAAGGATTTTACGCAGAGAAAAATGCCTTAATTTAAACGCAATGCATTTTTTTTCATAAATGGACATTGGCAAGGACATTTCCACAAAGGTGGTGTTCAAGGCCATTTGTTCTGAGACAAATAAAATTGTCATCATTGTGGAAGCTAGAACAACTTAATGATGGATATAGATTTGGGATTATAGTCAATACTAAAGATAGCTTGAAAAGAACATTGGATTGGCTAGGTATGAAGTGAAAGTGTCTTGTAATCACTGTTTCCACTGTATGCACACTGAATCTCAAATCACACATTCAGTTGTCTGTTGACCTTAGCTCTCTGTAATGCTATTAACTTCTGCTAATATCTGTAAATAGATTCAAATGTGTGCGAAGCATAAAAACGAAGCATAAAAATTCCTTTGTATCTTCAAAATTATGATGTTGTCATTGGTAATGTTTCCATAGGCAGCTATTGATATTAGAAGAGCTGACAAATTAGCTGCTTATTTACACTTGAATATTTGATATCCATACTGGAATGAATATTTTGGATGATTCTGTACTGTGGTATTTTCCTTCTATTGGACTGGAAATCATATTTGGGTCAATTTTTTTCACCTCTTACACAGACCTGAAAACCAAAATTCTAATAGTAGCATCTGGCAGTTTTTTTTTCATTGCTGTGTTGAAAAACCAGGAATAGATTACTTTAAACTGACACATTTCAAGGCTTGCTATAATTGGTATTTTCCGTGCTAAGAATTTTAATAACTCTAAACTACAAATAAATAAATGCCCTTTTCCTACTCACCTTTTTTTCCGTAACTTCTTGGCAACATGCCAATGTCATATCATTATTGTGTTTTACATGATAAATTTTTTTCAACTAGTACAATCTTTTGTCTTAATAAAAAAAAGAGATACTGCTGATATATATACATTAAATAAGGCAACTTCCCAACAAGATAAAGATTCTACTATGATAAAACAAACATTAGAAGATACCTCATCACAGTTGCATTTCAAGCCTGTATTTACAATATTAATGGATGAATATAAGGTCCTAAGACAGATGGCAAGGGTATAATGTAATTGCATGTCCTGGACACAACAAGTTATTGCAAGACACTTTTAAATTAAAGTCTTGTGTACCTCCATCCACTTTCAATGAAAATTAGAAGTGCAGCTTTACATCAGGAGAATATGGATGGTTTGAAACATTCTCCTGCAAGAATTCTGTGCTGCTTTATAGCTGAGCACTTGGGAAATATTCTACTGCAGTCACTTTAATCGTTAAATAAATTTACAAAGTTGCAAAGGTTTATTTTAGCAAAAAAGTTATTATGCAAGGGGAGAATTAAATAAACCTGATTGTTTGTGGGTTTTTAAATCTAAAGCAGTTTGTGTTACTTTTATTCTTTAATGTACAGATAATTCCAAGAGATTTTAAGGTATATTGAATCCATTACCTTGCAATTATGTCACCTAGGAAAAAAATACGACAGCAATATTGTGGTTATAATGAATGTGAAGTTATATGCTTATCACACATTTCATCATGCAAGGATTCATTTTTGTACCTGTAATGGTTGCTGATTAGGTGACGCAGGCTTTTTGAAGTCTTGCATGGTAATCTGGTTCATTCACAGGAATAAATACACTGTTCAATATCAGAACATTGTGAAAAATAACAGTATAGAAACACAAGCAACTATGAGGCTGGAGCGTTCTGTGATAGGGTTTCTTAGATAGAAACTGAAGGATTCATTGTTAGGGTTGATTGTTTCTATAGTATAGGATTTTGAACTTTCAGTTGGAAAATGAAATAAGGAGCAAAGTTTCTCATTTGCAAAGACACAAAATATCAACTTATCAACACGATTGTAAATTCTTCTGCACATCTAGTCAGTTATTTGTTTTGTTAATGTGCATGCTGTAATGTGAATACAGGTAGGTTACTTAAATTGAACAAATCATGGCTTGCTGTGATCAGTTACATAGCTTAAGGAAAAGTACCATTTCTGGATAACGCTGATGGGCATATATAGGAGTGTTTAACAGGCAAGGGATTATTTTAGAATAAAGTGTCACTAAATAATAAAGTAGATGCATGTTTACAATTACACTGTACACTTGCATTTTATTATGTTCAGTAACAACCTTCAATTCTGTGTTCATTCTGGCAGTTAATTCTGTCAACGTCTGTTGACACAGAACTGATATTACATCTCTCAAAATGAAATCTGGCCATTTGGTTTAGCTTCATCCATCTCAATCAATCTAGAGCTTTCATTATCCCGATCTTTAGCCTAGTAACTGATAACAATCTGGCAGGGACTCCCTGAAGTTCCTTGCTTGTACTCATTAAGTCACATATCAACTGCAGTTCATAACAAGCAGATATCAAGATCATTGAGAGTTGTCTGTCACCTTAAAATATTTAAGTTCTGATTTGTATTCTTACAATATAGTTAAAAAGATATGCACAACCAAGCGCACACAGACATCATTCTGAATTTGCATCATCTGTTAACTGTTGAAATTTTGCAGGATGTTTGTTAGAATTTTAAATGAATTGGTGACAGTTTGTGGTATTGTGAATTATGTTTGGTTCATTGAAAGTACAAGCTTGCTGAACCTTACATTTTTATGTTCAACCAGTTCATATCTAATACATTACCCAAGGATAAGCAGGAACATGATGAGCAAACACAGAGAGTGCTGGAGAAACCCAGCAAGTCTGGCAGCATCTGAGGTGAGAGAAACAGAGTTAACTTCTTAAATCAGTTATAACTCTTGTTAAGAAATAGAAGGTTGATGGAAAATGTTTTTATATGTAATTTTGACAGAGATAAAGGCCTAGTGCAAAAGATAACGGTGTTATTAATAATGGAGTAAGAGAAAAAGAGAGGCAAAATGGGTGTTAATTAAAGTGGGAAAGGGAAGTAATGGGTCCTTTATACTAATAGCAAATTAAACAGGAGACAAACAAGACAAGGCTATGGGAGGAGGTTGGAAAGAGTGTTTCTATTCGATAATTATCTTCCTTCATTTTGTAAATGTATTAATGCTGCAGGGTCCAGTTTTCCCTTTCTAATCCAATAACAAATTCAGAATACTGGTTTGTTCTTTCTTCATTTTCCCTGTTGTTGAATAAAAATTAACGTTTCAAACTGATGGAAACCTTTACAACATCTAATGCTCCCTCATTCAAAAATGCCAATGTTTCATGCTAGAATGGACAATATGGAAAGACTAGCTTTCCTTTAGGCAGGGTTCTAACATTATGCAGCTCTAAGGATATCTCTACACCCTTAATCTTATACATTAGGCTACAATGACAGTCAGTCACACAGCTAATGATCAAAAATGAACATATATTTTTAATGCATTTTTCCATTTACAATTGTTTCCTATTATCCTCCGAAAGGCTTTATTTTCCTTTCCCTCTCTAATACATTTAGGTATAGTTCTCAGGTCCACAGCTGAGGGAAGGAGCCTGATCTGTAGTGGAGCCTGGTGATCTCAGAGTTTTGGGCAGGCGATGCCACAGCTATTGGTTGCTAGATCTGAGACTGTCCTGGCCAGATGCAGATTTACTATCCTCGTCTTGAACTTCCACAGGTCGAGGGTCACAGGCAATACAAAGGTGGAGAGACTGGACATCTTGGTAGTATCCTGAAGGAAAGCTTCTGGAAGCCTGAATGTGGTTCCTCCTCTGTTACCTACCTACCAGCAGCAACACACCTCTTTGCGAGGACGGGGTATGTGGAATAAGAACAAGGTTCATCGCTCCCCCTCTCACATTGTCACTGGTTGCAAACATAATGACTACAGTGATGGAGTGCAGATTGGTACAGGTATCAGGCAGAGACAGAGTTTGCGTCTCCATAGTAACTACCAACCTGTCCATAGACATAGCCAGATGCAGACATGATAGAGACATAGTTGGGAAACTGAATCAACGCTTGGAGAAGTCCACAAATGTCATATGCACAATAGTCTCCAATAAACCTTCTAGCTGTCTCTGTGTCACCTTGCACGTTTTGATGAAGTTATTTATGACCAACACTATGAGGTCCTCTCTTGCCTGGGTGACCAGGTGTTTGCTGTCTGGCAGACTTCTGAGCTCTGGCTATTCTTCTTCAGCCAACTGCAGAGATGGGCCATTGATGTGCTCACCAGATTGTGTTACCAAACCTAATCCAGCAAAAGTATACAAAGAGCTATGAGTATCTGAGCTGAAGGAGCAGTCGTCAGCCTTGCCAGTACTTGCTTTGAGGGGTCTGTATCTTTTCTCTCACAGCTAGAGGAAGGAGTGTTGACTGGAAGGGCTGCGCTTTTCAGGGCAGTGACTGTACAGATGCTACTCATTGTTGCAAAAAGAGGGAATGAGTGAAAAACAGGAGTAGAGACTTGAGTACATTAAGCCTATGTTGCCAGAAGTGGTAGCGTGACAGTTGCACAGCACTTGACAATGAATCTTACTTAGCTGCTGAACCATAGAATTTTTGGCATCACCACATAATCACCCTCTATCCTCTTGCACTAGGGCATGGATCCTCTCCTTGTAATGGATGAGCAGATGAATGTTGGGTGCTCCATCACTTTCATTGGCCCTGTCTGCCCTATTGTGGACTATTTTGGCCTGGTATGAGACAAGGGCAGGTATTAAGTTGGATGAAAGTGATGGATACAGATGGTAGTATAGGTGCAGGAGAGAGAAAGAAGATGAGATGTTATGAATGTATGAGTAAGAAACACCAAGGGATAAGTTGTTTGAGGGAATGGAGTGGATGGGAGTCACTGGGCAAAGATGTTGTTTACACAAGTGAAAGTGGGATGCCATAAGCCCTGGTGACAAGTGTGCGTGCAGTGGCAGAGTTAGAGTAAGTGTGAGGTAGCACAGTGAAGATAATGACATTTACCCTTGCGAAGTGCAGAAGGTCATTAACTTTCTCCCTGCGCTGCTTAATGTTGCTCTGGACACCTCATTGACCTGGTGAGGAACTTCAGACCAGGCTGGCAGGGTCTGATACCATAGTGTCCTCAGGTAGAGCTGAAAAGAGGATGGCACCCGTGTCCACAGCCTGTCCACCAGGACTTCCAGGACCCTAGCAGCAAGCAGGGTGCCAATGTATGTCTCTGAGTTAAATCCAGGGCAATTCTCCCCACATTAAAACTGTGAAAGACAATTCCTGGCTGGCAGTGTTTGACCTGGGGCATGGCTGGACTATAAAATATCATGCAATGTTGGGGAACCCAGAAGAAGCATACGCTTCTGTTATTGGTGAGCACAAGATAGTGTAAGAGGTGCCATGAGGGAAAGGTGATGAGACAGTGGGGTGAGCAGTATAAAATTGTGCAAGAAATCTCAATAGACCTCACAGAGACAATTCTGCATGAAAATTCCAAAAGTTGACACAGCCAAATTTTTGGAAAATTTAGCTCTATATCTCCAACAGCACAGACTCCCCAACTCAAACACTGAAATGCCAGCTAGATGCTAAGTTCTGTTGAGTAGGGAAGCTATTCTCAAGCTTCTGGCTTAAACATTAGCGTTACCATAGTGACCAATCATGACACTAGATACAACAGAGGATTTTGCTCAGCAGATTTTTTATTATTGTTAACCTCAGCAACCCTTTCAACAAATGGCTGTTGTTTTGTTAAAATACCAAATGTGTTCTTTCATCAATTTAACAAAAGCATACCTGTGGACTTCCAACTAATCATGTAAATTAACTAGAAAACCAACATTTTATTTTATCAGACTCATCCATACAATTCAAGAATAATGGTACTTCATCAATACACTATTGTAAAGTAAGCCTTTCCTACGAAGGATCTTTGCCAGAACAGAAGGCAAGAAGCTTTAGCCTTCAATGAGTTTTGACCTGAGAACACTTAAAATGGGAGGCCAAATGGAAGTGTTGCTTCTCCCTATATCAACACAGCTGAGAATGAGAATGTGCACAATAAGTGTTTTACTGGAAAACAATGTGCTGCTTATAGGAATTACAAAGTATTAGTTATCAGCTTTTCCTTTCTTCTCAACCTTAAACAATTCCTCATGATTAGTGAAAAAGAGATTAGTAAGTTAGATTATATGAATAAAAGTGTTTTCAATGTGCAGTTTTACTCCATTCTGGTGAGTGTTTAAGCCACTATGTTTAATTTTCTAGATCTCATGAGTTCATATATTCTAAAACCTGTTCAATCTCATGATCATGTTCAAAAGGGTCCATATTTTTGAATAAATGGACTTTTCCACAAGCGGTTTTCTATTAAAAAATAAAGGGAAAACCCATTTGTCATCCGGTTTAGCATATCACAACGTAATTACATTTCTAAAGAAAAAGTAAAATACTTGTTTCTCACATAAATTGTGCCATTATTCTTTTAAATAGAATTCAATAACTGAGATCCTTTAGACTAAATAGTTTATCATTAGTCTAATCGTGACTTTAAACTTCAAATTACTTATTACAAAATTTGACCAAAAATCACTTCAGGGTAAATCCACTCATCTGCAGTAATGTGACACAACATTGTAAACTTGAACATTCATTTTAATACAATAACATGATGAAAACTGCAAAAACTATTATAACTGTACTTTATTAACAAAATTTGTTAAAGATAAACTATTTCATATGTCTCAGGAAACAAATGAAGACTAGTTGGATTGCGCAAAACTGTAGAGCTGGTCTTGTGAGATCTGCTAGACAGCTTTCGCTTTATACACAATGTCTGTCCTTTTAGGAGTACTGAAAGAAGAAACCATGAAGTACAACACATTTCCTGCTCGTACTTCCTGTTGCTGCTGTGATGTTCTTTACATAGTAGGTCTAAAGTTGGACTCCTTATAAAGTAATCCACAATCTATTTTTTTTGGAACGTAGAGGACACAAGAATTTGAAATAATTATTTTTGTCATTGATAACACAATGTCATTCTAATTGCTTTCAGTAATTTTTATGATATGTTTGTGCAGGTTAAAAAAAAACTTTCAATCGATATAATTGTCTAATGTCCCAGAGAATTACATCGCATCTACAAGTTAGAAACAAGTCATATGTTCTTTCTAGGGGTTGCCACTCTCAAACATCTTTCGAGTGGCTATATCTCATTCCATCTATTTCTCTCTCCCTCCAGCAACTTCACTTTAAATGTGCCTATGCTATTCACTTCAACCACTACCCATGGTAGTGTGGTCTACATTGTAATTTTAGAGATTCTGCCAGCCATATTTCCCAACGTAAGATTTTTAAAAATGTTCTGTTTAATATTAAGGGAGATTGATATTTAAGATGCTGGGAGAGAAGTAAATAAACAATTAGGATCATGCAAAGCGAAAAATGGTATTAGAACTAGATTTATATTTCAAATTATTGCAGTCAACTTTAATCATTTCCCCTCTAAATATTGCTTTTGAGAACTGTTGAAGCATGATATGAATACTGTACCTGAGCAGCAAAAAAAAAACTTCTTCTTTATGGCTAGGAAGGAAAAGTATAAATGCAAACATGGGATTCTGAATTTCACCACTTTAATATGTAAAATAAAAAATGTGATTGTGATTCTCACTAGATATTATTGGGACTGTATTTCCTTGCTTAACGTACTGCAGTAATGTTAACAACTTTGCTGTGCAAAGGAAGCTAAGCTGAAAAAATTTCCACCTGACATTCACTTTAAAGTGTTATCAACCCTTCTCTCCACCACCACCCTGAGCTTTCTCATGCTTCTGTCGACTACCCACTGAGCTCTGTCACAAACATTAAGGTGAGACCCAGTGGTGAATTCCACCTCAGTGTCTGGAAGTTGGGCTGCTGCTGTTTCTAAGGAAACAGTTTCGTAAGATGCAGCAGCTGTCAGGCTGAGCTGTTCAAGGCAGAGGTGAGAAGTTCCTGAAACAGCTGGATATCTTTAAATTCAGATTCCTCCAAGTGGGAGGCAATTGTTAAAGCAGTTTGTTTTGTCATTCCACCTTTGGAACTCTACATTTGCTTCTGACTGTTTTGCACAAGGTCAGAACTACACCAGAACTTTGTGCTGTCAAGATATTAGTCATGAACTACAAGGGACTACAAGAATGCAAAATGCAGGAATGCATAGAAGATGGACTCGCTAGGACTTCAGGCTATAATGGGAAATTTAGCCTGGAGCTGTGATCAGCCTGAGTTTGTATTCCATATGATATATCACAAAACTCTGGAAAATAACTTAGTTGTCCTATGATGTCTGGCAAACTGCAGTATGTAAGATGTTTCTGAAGCTTCATGCATTTAGGATTGACTGCTGGTATGAGAAATATCACTGATATATTGGCAGCTGAGAATTCATGTTTTAGAGAGTGATCACCACAGTCAAAGTGATTACTGAAGAAAGCAAATGGGTGACTGACAATTAGGAAAGAAACAGGAGGCAACATACCATACAAAGTGCCCATGTGAGTACTGAATTCATAGTTTTGCATATTGCTTGTTTGCAACGATATCAAACAAGTTGAAGCAGTTAAACTGTAAACTTTGTCATTGTGGAGCAAGTGCTTCATAAGAGGCAAAGTGAAGTTCGCAAAGACATTGAGAAGAAAGAATTCTGTGGGGGACAAGGGAAAAACAAAGAAGATTTTGCATACGGAAGGCATGAGCCTGAAGGCATGGTTCATGTTTGGATCAGTAACATAGAATGAACGGAACTGTGGGTTTTAAGAGGAGATTTTAAGAAATTATGAGACAGATTGAATTGGCATGACTTTTAGACTGGTAATCTTAAGGTTATGTCCAATGTCACTTAATAATCAATATAAGAATAGTAAAGCTAGAGAGGTAAATTTGTAGTTGAAGAGGTATTGTAGAAGGTAATATTTTTAGGTGAGACATTGAATGGGAACCAATTGATAGTGGTAATGCATCTCGGGCAGTATATAGAAGTGCCAATCAACAGGCCCCAAATAGTTTTGGTTTCTGACCTGGTTGACCTGGTTTAAATGACA